TATTATTCCTGATATATATATATATTCCTGATGGATAGATACCGAAGAGCCATTACATTATGACCACCCTGCTAATAACATGTAGGACTACCTTTAGCCCTCAAAACTGCTAGCATCCGCCGTGGCACTGATTCCACAAGGTGCTGATAGGTAATCTGAGTTATCTGGTACCAAGCGCTCACCAACTGGTCCTACAATTCCCTCACATCGCGAGGGGGATGCATGGCAGCACGATTTTGGTTTTCCATGTAGGACCACAAATGCTCTACTGGATTAAGGTCAGGTGAATTTGGAGGCCAAACTTGACTTGAAAGTCACTGGAATGTTCCTCGACGATTAGCTCTTTATGACATGGTGCATTATCCTGTTGGTAAACACTATCCCCCGCAGGAAAAACTATTGCCATGAATGGGTGAACCTGGTCTGCAACTATGTTCCAGTAGCTTACAGACGTCAGGGATTGTTCTATGAGGATTATGGGTCTTAATGTGCCCCATGAAAACATTGTTCCTGGGCGAGAAACCATGAAAACCTCGGCGAGCCCATTGTTATAGATGGAGGGTGGTCATAATATATATATATATATATATATTACCCTTAAATTTATCCCAAAATATTTTGTTAGAAAAAACTAAATTTTTTTTTTTTTTTTGTCCAAAAATTCCTGACTGAAGAAAACAAATATTTTCCAAAAGCATTCAAATTAATATTTTTAAAAATATCAATTACCTAATAACCTTATGAAGTAATATTCTATCACTATTTTTAACTTAGATGCCAATTTGGATGTAAAACCCATGTTTGAATTTCTCGTACGTGTGAACAATGTTAAATGATGTGCAAACAAATTTCTAAAGCAAAACAATTACTTGAGTTCATGAATGACAGAAGCGTTCAACGTATTGTAGGTGAATAGAACGATTTAAAAAGAAATTCTTAATGTGAAATTAATCTTGATAATCACAAAATAATAAAAAGCAAATAACGTAAATTTTGTAACATTTTTTTGCTAAAGTTCAATTTTTTAAAACGAAATATTAAAAGAAGATAAATTCTATGACAAATTCTATTCAGATGATTGCTTTACAATAATGGTTGTTTTTAAGCATAAAGCAGTTTTGTTTGCGAAAATTAAAACTATTTAGTCAAAACATAAGTACTATAAAGAATAATGTTTTCTTAGTCTTATACCCCTGTTTCTAAGCATTCATTTTTCTGAGTTAAATGTTTGAGTCAAGTTTGATTGGTAAATTGTGTGAAAGATTTCAAATGATTCGGTTTCTCTTTTGATTCTATTAAGCTAGCTGTAAATATAAATAATTTTGCTTATTATTCATTTATTAAATAGCATTTAAAATTAAAGTTATATTGTTAAAACAAATTTGGTGATTTCACAACCATAATTTAAATTTTTCTTTTACCAAACAGGTTAATTTATTAAATACAATTTATTCATGCATCACATTGTTCATGAAGCTGATCTAAATCTCTTAATCATTTAACGAATCTCTAAGGGTAACGCATAATAGTATATTAATGAACTTCACACTACGAAATAATTATTTTAAAATGACTAAAAAACTTAGACATGTATTTAAATAAGTTTATCTTAGAATGGTAAATGGTAATATTATAGAATTATATGTAATTATAAAACAGCAGAGTTAAATGAGAAAAATAAATATTGCTGGTAAAAACCTTTACATTTACGGAAAACAATACCTTTATGACTTTTACTAATTTTATGCTAATGACTACCAAATCAATATAGAAATTAATGTAGAAAAACTGGATTCTAACATGTGGTTTTCAGGCCGAAAAAATTGCCCCGACGACAAAGAAACCTACAGCATCGCATTAAATTTTTTGTATATAGGTAAATTTCCAGTGCTGAAAAACTCTAAGCATATACTATTAATGCAATAACATTTAATTACGATTTTTTTTCTACTTAAAACAATAAACAAAATGAATAATTTAATGAAACAAAAACAATAATTTCAATAAAAAAATAATAAAAGCAATAATTTAAAAAATAGGACATAATTTTTGTTTTTCTGTAAACTAGAAAATATTTTGCAAAACATTTTTAGATTCAAGTTCATCTTGCCAAAAAAAGAAAAAATATATATACAAAACTTAAATCAAAAAACGTTTTTCATTTGTTATATTGACAAAAAGCTACAATTCGATCTCTTTATTTTAATAAGATTTCACTTTGAAGCTGAAAAAAGCTTTGTATTACGATATTAAACGGTTATTTTTTAATTAAAGACAATGTCATAATACTCCTTAAATGCCCCTTGTGATACTTTATATCGAGGGGAAAAAACGGTTCTAATAAAGAGAAATACGTAATTGAATTCGAGAACTTTTCGGTGGGCTTATGTAGTCCACCGATCATTCATTTTCCCGATTCTATTTTTTTACGTTTTAAAATAAGCTATTACAAAATAAATAATTCTTGCAGGTCTTGCTGGAATTATAAAAGTGTTATTGGCATTCGAGACAGGAAACATAGCTCCAAATTATTATTTTAAGAAGCCCAATCCTAATTCAAAAGGACTAATGAATGGCTCCGTGAAAGTAGTTTCAGAAGCAACACCACTTTCAAGTCCTTATGTTCCGATAAGTTGTTATGGATTGGGAGGAACAATAATATCAACTGTCTTGAAACAAAATAACAAAACATACCCAAGAAAATACTCTACAAGAGCAACAATTCCAAGACTTGCACTCGTCTCCGGAACTTGCGAGAATGCTGTAAAATTCCTTATAGATTACGTTAAAGACAATCCAAACTTGCCAGACGAGTTCTTTGCTCTTTTGCACAAATTATCTTTTTGCCAGCCACAACTCAAGCCTTACAGAGGTTATATTTTGTGTCAAAAGGATCCAAGTGAAATAGAAAACATTAAGGTAAACAGTTTCCTTTTTCTTCATATTATAACTGACAATTATTCACTTTTATGAAGGTAAAAGCATGCAGAAAACAACACGATATTTGCACATTTTCCAGAGGAACAAAATGGCTTATCTAATATTATTTTGTAAGAAAGAGGAGATAGCAAGTGAAATATTCTGACAAATGTGACCCTTTTTTGGAAGGATTTGTAATTTAACATTACATTCAGTTCAATTTTTTATAGATATGAATAGTCAGTGTTTCCTAAACGCTTAAGATTCTAAGAATATGCTTGATATAGCGGTGTTCTTATTTACAAGTTTTGAAAAACTTTTGAGAATTGAGTTTTTCAAGAAAATAAAAAAGTCTGGTTTCAAAGAAAATAAAGTAATTAAGTAAGATTATTCGGTTATAAAAACGATTCTTGATACTATTTTGCTACTAAAATAATTTCACGATCCAAATTTATTCATATCTATCAGAAGATATTGTGAAAAAACTGAGTATCGTTTTACTTCCAATTCCTAAATTGCAGCATTTCTTTTTTATTTATGACCATTTTGCTCTGCTTATTTATTTCTCAATATATTTCTTTCGTGTTGCATCGTAAATCTGATTATTTCTTTATTTATTTGCAGCACTATAGTTATTATCCAATTTGTTAGGGTGTTTTAATTAATAATTTAAGTAGTTTTGAATAGTTATACGTAAAGTATTTATTTCGAATAATTTTGTATTTTCATTGAAATAAAAGTTTAGTTTCGAAGTAATTATTTAGTTTTACTTTTAATCCTTTCTAAAATGTCTGTAGAAATTTTATACATAAACTGAGCTATGATGTTTAAAACTGTGATACAAATTATTGCTGAAGGAGCCTGCCATTTATGAGCAATAGCATATCAATATTTGACTTACTAGATGGCAGCGCTTTCTTTTAGCAGCCAAACAGTTCTTTCTGACAAACATTTGCTATTCCCACCAATCAAAATAATTGCTTTGGAATGGTGACTTTCTTACTCGTTGCTTTGTGAAATATTCACAATCTCTGAAGTTAAAATTTCACTCACTATTTTTATTATAGGAGAAATGAATTACGACGGCAATGCTCAACAAGGCATTCCGAAGTCAGTCGATTTCTTTTAACTGAGAAAATAACGTACTGCTTTTTTAACAAACGATTTTGAATTCTGAAAGTATCTGATTCTGAACCAATAATTTCCAATCTATAATTTACTTTTAGCTGAGAAACATATGGTACTGCTGTTGGGATCAGCGAATTAAGAAGTATACACTATGCTGTCACCATATGCACTTCTCAAATCTACTGAGGTTTTTTTTTTATCTAAACTTTAAAAGTATTACAAGAGATTCTGACCCGATTATGTTTAATATATTGTTTAACTAATTTTTAGCATTTTTATTTATAAATTTTCATTATACGTTTACATTACAGAATTGCACTGAAGTAGAAAGGCCAGTATGGTTTATATACACCGGCATGGGATGCCAATGGAAAGGAATGGCGTTGCAGCTAATGGAAATTGATATTTTTGCATCAACCATGAGGAAATGTGCAGGAGTGTTAATGCAGCATGGAATAGACCTATTCAAAATAGTGAGCTCAGATAGTGACTTACTGGAGCAAGACAGACATATTATGCCGGCATTTGTATCCATTACTGCAATACAGGTTAAGATAGTACTCAAATAGTTATATCATTAATTGTAGAAATACGTATGCCAATAAATTAAATACACAGTTTAACATTATCAGATTTTAAAAATTGTCAATTTTATTTGTTTTTCTTATTTTATCAAAACTTAAAAGTTCTTTTTAGTAAATATAATATCAAAAAAATCGTTTACAAATATAAACTTGTTTTCAACATTTTGCATATTTCATTTATCAATTCATCTATACACCATCCAAATTAATGAGCATTTCGATTTAAATAAAAAAGAATTTAAGGGTTTCGAGTTAAGCAACTTAATTAAAGAAGAGTCTTCTCGAAAATTTTTTAAAATTTTACCACTTTAGCGTTTTTCAAGCGTAAAAATATTCTACAGAGAAATATATAGATACGCAAAAGCTCTAGATAAGAAAAAAAATTGTGAATTAATATCCTTTCCAAGAAAGAACATTTTATGTAAAAATAGATTATATTTTGGGGATAAAACTGCAAAAAAGCGAAATGCGTACTAACCTTAGAAAATTACAAAACGAGTATTTTATGACAACAATAAATGTATGCTGCGAATTTTGACTCCACTCGTCAAGTTTTAAAAAACGAGTTTTGATAATGTATATACACCGAAGAGCCATTATATTATGACCACCCTCCATCTATAACAATGGGCTCGCCGAGGTTTTCATGGTTTCTCGCCCAGGAACAATGTTTTCATGGGGCACATTAAGACCCATAATCCTCATAGAACAATCCCTGACGTCTGTAAGCTACTGGAACATAGTTGCAGACCAGGTTCACCCATTCATGGCAACAGTTTTTCCTGCGGGGAATGGTGTTTACCAACAGGATAATGCACCATGTCATAAGGGTCCATTCGTCATGGATTGGTTCGAGGAGCATTCCAGTGACTTTCAAGTCTTGTCTTGGACCCCAAATTCACCTGACATTAATACAATAGAGCATTAGTGGTCCTACTTGGAAAACCAAATTCGTGCTGCCACGCTACCTCCTCGCAATGTGAGGGAATTGCAGGAGCAGTTGGTGAACGCTTGGTACCAGATACCTCAGACTACCTATCAACACCTTGTGGAATAAATGCCACTGCGGGTGCTAGCAATTTTGAGGGCTAAAAGTGGTCCTACATGTTATTATCAGGGTGGTCATAATGTAATGCCTCTTCTGTGTATACACAATCAAATCTTTATCTGCGGGTACAAGCTCCTTTCTGAACTGTTTCCTTCAGTGTGTATGATAATTTAAACAATATCTAATCATAGCAAAAAGGTTCTTAATTTTTTTACGTAATGCTACTCATGAAGTACTCATAAACACGATCCTTTTATGTATTTTGCATTTCAAATTAGAAAAGAAGTACATGGAGGGATAAAGGCTTACGTTTCCTTTTGGTATAAAATAACTTCTCACAAAACCAATCACAACATAAATAGATAGTAATACACTCTTTTCTTTGTTAAGTATCACGGTTGTCATTACTTAATGCATATAAACCGATTCCATCGTCCAGCGAATCAACTGATTCCAAAACAAGGTTCGGTCGGAAAAAATATGCGTTAGCATATAGAGAGGTTTCTAGTCTTTGAAGTTTTTAAACTAGACTTTCAATTCTGAGATACTTCCACACACTAGTTGATTTTTATATTTCTTTTGTAAGGGGGGATAATTTTCTCCAAGACAGACAGAACAGACAGAGTTTAATTTTTGTTTTGCGAATTTAGATTCGTTTTTCCTTGTTCTTTTTTTATCCTTTCAGAAATGACTGCGAATTTCACATCTTGAATAAATTAGGTAATACGTCGGTGTTAGAATTCACTAGAAATTGCCTTTAACCTTAAAAACATCAATATGAAGAATATTGGGCAGTGACCCTGGACGTGATAATTTCATATAGCAAACCGAAAATTAAGAGGAAAGATCGTTCAAGGGTAAAAAACAGTCATAAGATAACTAATACGATATACTTAGAAAGATATTATCCATTCAAGTAAACAAATATTTGTTAAAACCTTTAGTCGAAAAAATTTAAATATTCTAATGAATAATATTTTTAGATTGCCATAACTGATCTTTTGCACCACATCGGCATACATCCTGATGGCTTAGTCGGTCACAGCGCAGGTGAGATAGCAGCGTCATATGGAGATGGTTGCAGTACTTTAGAAGAAACGATGTTGTTGGCTTTAGCCAGAGGTTTAAGTGTAGAAGAAACTCAAGACCTAGTTAGAGGACTAATGGCAGCAACAGGTATGAAAAATTCGTATCCGTGTTTGATATTAGTTACATAAAAATTGCGTGATTTACTGCTAGTTGTCAATACCTTTAATCATAAATTAAAATATGTATTTTTATTTTACTTAATTTTTTTTTTTTTGAATTTTACTCTTCAAACTTTTTTATTCCTTTGCACTACAAAAAAATTGTTTTGAATGCAAAACATTATTGTGTGTATGGCACTGCTTTTGAAGTATTCAGCACCGGATAGTCTCAAAACACTCCAAATAGATCTTTTATATACTAAAATATTTGTTCAATCTAAGTATGTGTGTTTTTTCCTTCCTCTCTCCTTGGAGAAAGGCGCTTGTGCACCAGTGGCATGATTGTATTCTTCCTGAAATTGCTATAATTGAGGCAAATAGTCAACTTTTGCCGGATTATCTTTAAACTCTACGGCATGTGTTGGACTTTCTTTTTCACTGAAATGCAATTTTACACAATCCACTCGTGCCCTTGCTTACAAAATGAATTGGTTTCCACTAAAAAAGCAAGCTATTCTGTAGTCCTGATGCAGTTATTCATTGTTTGAAAACTCACAGGCTCTTGGATTTCATCTAGATATTATCGCCATCAGTATAGAATAATAACAACATAAATGGAGTTAATTTTAAAGATGCACAATTGTTCCTGAAATGTTATTATTTTTGTATTAAAAATTAATTACTCTAAGAGTTTAGTTAAAATATTATTATTTCATTTGTTTTACTAAAATATTATTAAATATAAAAAAATCTTTTTTTTCTTTTTGATGTCTTGAGAATGTTATTCCTCCAACACATTGAATAAAAGTAAAATGGGAATTAAATCTTAAATTTGGGTTGGAGAAAATCAAACATATTAAACTTATATACCAACTGAATGCCTTAATCCTTCTTTGAAATCCTAACAATGAAAAATTAAAAAATACTTAAAAATAAGACTTAAAGTCAATTTTTTAAAACATCTTAATGCATTCAGAATCCCTCAAAATTCTGCAAAGCAGTTTATTACTTTTCTAAGCGTGCTAATTAAGTTAATTTTTTAACAAAAAATGCTTACTCTCGTTTTCATCTGAAATGGGGAGCCACGTGATTATTCACTAACTGACATCACCCATACCCATGTTGTTGTTGTTGTTGTTGCTGTAACAGCCATTAAGTTCTTACATCCATTTGAGCTTTCGTTTTTAAATCCAACTATTTAAGAGGGTAAGTAACAATATGAAAACAAAGATATGTATAATAAATTTTACCCTAATGTAGCTTAAAGAAAATGTGGGCTTAATATAGCGTATTTTTATAATATTGTTAAATTTCAATTGTACTCATTGAAAAACTGTTAATAGTTGACGAAATTTTCTAGTTCTGAATATTTAAGATTTCTTTAGTTCCGTAAAAATGAGTTATGGATGCTTGATATTATTAAAATGACGGGTTATGACAAATGAATTTTGCTCTTTAATTGTCTTAACCAAATTAATCTTAATTTTAAAGTATATATCAAATTCATTTCGAAGATTTATTTTCATGTGAAGTGAAAGAAATGTTGAATTAATTTCTTATGCAGAATAGTTTTAGATTTTAAAAATGTAGAAAGGCTTCAGTAATTAATTTTTTTATTTATTTATTTATGCTTGAATTTATGCGGGGAATTTTCTTCAGCATTACAGTAGCTTTATAAAAACTTGTGATCCCAGTAAAACTTTTAATTCATTTCAACAAAAAACAATTTAGGTTAAAAGAAAAGAAAAGAAATTAATAAATTCCAATAGATTTTATTAATTTTATTTTAATTGCGTTAATCTATGTAATAAGAGTATTGAAATCAAGCATATGTATTTATTTAGTTCCACATTGCAGAAACGGGAATTAAATTTTATAAATGACTATAAAAATAATTTTTTTTCATAGCAAAATTTCCATTTACTCAAGAACGAAAATGGTGAGAAAATATATCAACTTTACTGTCTGTTTAGTTATTTAATAAAAAATTATCCATGGAATTTCTTTTCATTTTGCATAAGTTTTTTTTAAATTCATTAGCTTTAGTGAAACAAAAACGTCTAACTTAATAATATTCTCTGAAATATGCAGTTAAATTAAATTACATTAAATGAAAGTTTAAAGTATAAGCACGTAGAATGTGTTGATTCATTTTCGGCGAAATGTCGAATGCTTTTCATGAGATTTTTTCACCTATTTTAATTAAATTTTTTTCGTTAAAAATGTATAATGCATTAATTTTACTATTTTAGAATTCTTCTTTGGCATTAACGGATATTTTGCTTAAATATGGAGAAAAATTAACAATACCCATATTTTATAAATGCTATATTGCAGAAAGAAGAATTAAAATTTATAAATTTAAAAATAAAAATAATTTCTAAATATAGCGAAATTCCCATTTATTCAAAGAATAGTGTTGAGAATAACTATGAGCGTTAATGTGTATTTAAATATTTAATACATAGTAAAAGAAGATGAAATACATTGCATTAGTAAATAATCACTCGAAAAGAAAATCCTTCAACTCTAGTTTTTGAAAAAGGACAAAATTAAATTAGATTGCCTGGATTTTTGAACCTTTGCATATATATTGTAATGATGATTGATAGAATTTTTTTAATGTGTTCGATTTATGAAAACACTGATTTGTTTTAATACAATATCGTACGATAAAATCATCCACACTATACTTAAATGTATCCAATCTATTCTATCCAATCTGAGACTAATTTTAATTAAGTAATTAGGCTTTAATGGAGCATTACTTGAAACTTTGAAAAAAATGGAATGAAATAATATTTTTCTATGAACTTCAACGTCACTGATTTCAACCGAAACGAAATGTTGATTCTCTCTGAAGAGCTGTATACTCATTTCTTCAGCTATTATAGTGATAAATAAACAGTGTGAACTTTTAATATCTTTTTTCCATTTTGTACTTACTCTCAAAACTGTAAATTTAATTTACGAAATTTTTACTAATAATATACCAGAGATTTTCAGACGATATAAGTTATATCAAAACTAAAAGAACATTGAAAGAGCCTTAATGGATGGAGGTGTCACATTTCCATTCAGCACATGTGATGCCATAGCCTGTGAGAGATCGTTTATAAGTGCATCACTTACGGAGGCCTTTCTGGGCAATTTAAATGCTTAATAATTAAATAAATAAACATTTGAGGTAAAAAAACAATCAGATTTTTGGCTTCAGGAGAAAATTTCCAATAATTTAGGATTGAAAGCAAAAAAATTTAAGATATGCTGTGCCTCTACACATAAGAAATGGAAGAAAAAAAAATCTTTCCTAATAAGTTGCCACAAAAAATTAAAATTTTAACTAGTTTATGTGTATACAATCTTTAAGCTAGAGCAAGATGATTATGGATTAGTTTGCTGGTTGTGTAATGCTATATGGGGCAATATGCCAAATTTTTTAATAACTTTAATACATGGCAGACAAGGAGCAATGGTGCTCTACACATAAAAAATGAAAAAAAAAAATCTTTTTTCGAAATAAGTTTTCACGAAACATTAAAATTTTTACTAGTTTATGTGTATACAATCTTTAAGCTAGAGCAAGATGATTATGGCTTAGTTTGCTGGTTGTGGTTGTGCGATGCTTTAAGGGGCAATATGCCAAATTTTTTTAATAACTTTAATATATGGCAGACAAGGAGCAATGGAAAGAAAATTTATCATGACTGTTAATTAGTTGAATAATGATTTGGGACAGAGAAATCACTCTCTAATTAATAAATAGATGAGCAATTGGTTAAAAACAATTGATTGGAAACAATCTTAGTTCATTTATTTTGTTCCTGTTAAACTCAAAATAAACCGAAAACATATGTAGTGAGATAAAAAAAAGTTCCTTTCATGAATTTAGAATATAAGAATGAAGATTCTAGCTATAAAGAGATAAACTGAATTCTGCCATCAATTCTTCTGCAATTATTTCTAATAATTAGAATAAAATCTCATTCCTCTGAGAATAATGAACTTCCTAATACTAATTGCAAGAAATGATCACTTATTAATGCAGGGATGGCGAACCAATGGCACGCGTGCCATTTACGGCACGCGACACAATATTTTGGGCACTCCACTGATCACAATTGTTGTTACACTATGAAGCATATGTAACAATTGAATTAAAATTCACAAAAAATAAACAAAATAATAAACAACTATTAATAATAAAATTAAAAATTAATGCTAAAAAAACAATTAATAACCATAAAAAAACAAGCTAGCAATAAATAACTAGCAAAAAAAATTTACAGCCTGCTTAAACTAACATCTTACAAGCTAATATAAGTCATTTGTCATCTAATCTGCAACAACAGAAGTCACACTGATGTTACTTGAAAGTTGAATTACACGATAACTGAGATATTGCAAAATGTATATTTTTTCAATGTAAATAAAGAGTTTTGAGTTGATAGTATTTAGTATTATTATTTCCCCAATAATCACGAAGTCAAAATTATTTGACGGCACGTCTATGACCTCTTTAAGCAATTTTTTCAGAGAAAATGGCACGTTGTTGTATAAAGGTTTGCCACCCTTGTATTAATGTATTATTTCTTGCAATAATTATTTCAACGTTAAATTTTTATGATCTTAGCAACGCATTTCCACCATATATATTTCCACCAATATAGATAATACCATCTCAGATGAACAAGTTTTGAAGAAAATTCTGAAAACAAATGTCTTCACTGGCATCAAATAAAATAAAGCCAATGTAAATTTTGGCATAATTCGAGAAAAATAGATTTATAGATTTCTGATGTTATAAATGAAGTGTATTTTAGATCCATTGGGAAAAACTGCAGATTGAATTGAGAAAAAAATTGGACTTCTGGTGCTTAGATTTATATGAACAGAGCATACACGATCATACAGATGACTCAGTAATATCTGTTATTTATCAAAATTATCCTAAGTTTCCTAATAATGTTATCAAAATTGCATTGAAATAGTCCAAAAAATAGCTTTTTTGTAATAATTTACTGATTTGGCAATCAAATTATTAAAAATTAATAAAATCAATAGTATTAATGAAATCAAGTTGATAAAGATGTTTTATTTATCTTTTATTTTAACTCCTTTCCGTAGGTCTATCTTGGAAGCTAGCACAGGAACTGTGCCCAGAAAACGTTTACGCCTCTTGTCATAATGCTGATGACTCAGTTACGATTTCTGGATTGAAAGATGATGTAGAAAATTTTGTATCGAAACTGAAAAAGCAAGATATATTTGCAACCCTTGTAAATACTTATGGTTACTCCTTTCATTCGAAATACATTAGACCGGCAGCTGAAAAATTAAAGACCAAAAAAGTATGTTGCTATAAAATTTCAATTCGCAATAACTATTCGTCCAATAAAGCTAAGATTTAAAATTTTTACCATTAAAATTTCTTAATTTAAAATTAAGTAAAGATTAGAGTGTCTTATAACTCATCACAACTATTAAGTGTATTTTGCGAAGATTATTTGCCAAAGAGAGAGAGTCAGAGTCAGTGTTTGAGTGCTTTATGCTCACACTTACAACACTGTCCCAGTAAATACACATGGTTATCTTTTCTTATGTAATCGCAGTGAAACCTTTATTATTTAACGTGCACAATAAATTGACAGAGTGTTGCCAAGAAATGAACAAAAGTTTTCCAAATTGCTTTAAATATATTTTTGCACTCACTACAATTTAAAAAAGAGAACTTTACTCTCTAAAAAGCTATACATCGAAACTTTACTTATAAAGGAAACATACTTATACATCAAAAAACTCTTCTAAGAACTGATTGAATTTCTAATATTAAAAAGTAACGCAATTCCAAATTTATTAAATAATATGAAAACACTATAAATAACAAAAAAAAATTTCTCGCGAGGAATTAGTTTTGAGCAAACGATTTTAATGATTGTAAGAAACCATTTTTGTGGAGCGAATGTAATCAACAATGTCCACCTTCATCTATGAAAAGGTACCTCAACATGAAGTTGAATTAGCACGTTTTATATTCTAAGGAATTGGAATTGAATAATTGTGCTGGTAGACACGCTATTTTTTTTTTTTAATTTTCCTTAGCAGTTTCTGAGATATAATTAAATACGCTAAATGTTTAATTAACATCTCGGAACCTTTCCACGCTCTTCTGACTAAACTACTTGGACTATATATTACAGATTTTAGCTTTCCTTCATGGCGGATTAGAGATCAAAATCAGCTTAATAAAATTTATGATTTTTAAAAGAAAGTGCATTGTTGCGTCAGATTTCATAAATTAACATCAGAAACATATTTATTAACATCATCAACATATTTAGAATATTTAAGATTCGAAATTTAAACCAGTTACATTACATCTTCTTACGTCAAAATCCGATTGATAGATCAAAAGTTATTTCGGTATTTTATTGTTTAATTTGTACTCCTTACTTTAAAGGCGTTGATAATTATTCATAATTACTTTTTTCTAATTATTAAATAACCCTCAAATCTTTTGATACCAATTGTTATTTCCCAATTGTGAATTACAGGAAAATTCTTTATTTTAGCTTACAACACCAACAAATAGAAACTTAGTTTTACCTAGAATTTATAGCACGTTTTGAACAATTATTTATCTTTGATTCCTTATGGCAATGGAGAACAAATAAAATCAATATTTTTGTCGTTAATTGTATTTCCACAGAATTAGTATTTTCATAATTACTTTCTTCTAATTATTAAATAACCCTCAAATCTTTTGATACCAATTGTTATTTCCCAATCGTGAATTACAGGAAAATTCTTTATTTTAGCTTACAACACCAACAAATAGAAACTTAGTTTTACCTAGAATTTATAGCACGTTTTGAATAATTACTTATCTTTGGTTCCTTATGGCAATGGAGAACAAATAAAATAAATAGTTTTGTCCTTAACTGTAGTTCCACAGAATTAGTATTTTGAACACTATTTGAAATCGCGTGTTTATTTTGTTCAGTTACACTTTTGAAACGTTTTCCTCTAAACCTAAATAATAGAAAGTCAACAGGAATTTTAGAAGCAATTTAACCTGAAGTTGCACATTATTGACAATTCAAAAGGAAAATTTCGCTGATACAATAAAATCTTGACTATCATAGGTTAGTTACGATCATAAGCATCATTTTCTTTGCCGAACAATGCTGTGCATGGTTTAGTTGCTTACAGCTGTAATCGAGGCAAAATCGAATTTCATTAAGAAAGCTTAGTTTCAATGATTATTGATATTTAATTGAATTTAAGGTTAGCAAAGTTAAATCAATGCGGATAATGTCAGGAGATTCCGTCAATGACAGTTGTTACTTGAAAATTATTGAATTGTTTATTACTAATAATCTTTTAGATTTATATATCTTTGTTCTTTTTTATTTAAAAATCGATTTTCGTTTTATATTTATTATTCTTGCAGTTACAATTTATTTATTTTTATTTATTTATTATTTAGAATAAACAAGTGAATTTTTCGATTCAGCAAATCTATGACCATCGTCAACATTAACATTTCGTTTTGTTTGTAAGGAAAAGCATTTTCAAAACTATGCCACTATGTTACAACGCTTGCATGGTATAACTAGTGACTTATAAATACTTTTGGAAATAAATTTAAAATGGGTCAACAATTTCAAGAACGCTTTCGTATCATTAATGATTGCGAAGAAAACTAAACAAAACTTTGATAAATTTGATACGTTAAATGTCTAAGTTTTTTTCCTATCCCCTTATAAATACAAATATCAGTAAGCATAATACAAATGTCTTGCAGGTCATAAAAGTTCCTAAAAGGAGAACCAAGCGTTGGCTTAGTTCTTCTGTTCCTGAGGCTGATTGGGAACAACCTAGATGCCAGATAGTTGGGGACGATTACTTTGTTAATAATCTAGTTTCTCCCGTCTTGTTCAACGAGGTGGTAAAGAAAATCCCTTCAAATGCAATTACGATCGAAATATCATCGCATACTCTGCTTCAATCGGTTTTAAAGCGTGGCATTGGCTCTAAAAGAACAAATATAGGTCTGGTGAATAAGAAAGCTGAGAATGGAGTGAATTTTCTTTTGGAATCAATAGGAACGTATGTATCTGCCATTAATGCACTTTTTTTATTGTTCTAAAATTCTAAAACTGTTACATGTAATATGTTTCATGGTGAGGAAGTTATTATTGACACATTTTGAAGTTGCTGCTGTTTCTGCATGGAATAGTGATATCATGTTTTTCAATAAATGTTACTAATTATTCGAATGTCAATGACTGTACTGAATGGTTATTAGATGATCAGGGTTGACAAATAAAAAGAACTTCATAAATATCTTACTTTTTCTTCAAAGAATAATAAAAATCAAGGAATCCATATACAGAGAGTTCATATAAATATAGAGTTTCTAAAATCTAACTTTACTTAGAAAGTTACGCCAAAATTAGTTATGAGGAACTGAAGGCAAAGCTTTCGTTGACGACCGATGTGACAATTCCTTTTTTTCCCTTTCTTTTTTGTTTTGTTTTGATACCCGATCAAAACAATTGTTTGAAATTTTCGATTAGTTCGTTCGAATGCAATTCTTGCGAAATATTTTTTTCTCATAGGTTATCATTGTGCATAATTCGTTAATCGTTGTTATAAATAATAGTTTAAATTATTCGTTTTTTTCATTCATTCATTTATTTATTTTTTTATGAATACGAGGTCAAATCAAATGGAAGTGTGCCAACCCACCCATCACAGTAAAGGTTCGGTCCATTATTTGCGATGCATGTGCGTAGCATACCAGTGCCTCTCATTTATGAAAATGACACGTAGGTTTGAGTATAAATGTTCATTCATGCTCTCATAGATTCTGTCAAAAACGGTTGCATGACATAATGGACGCTCTAAAAGACGAACAGTATGGTGTGGTTTAGTATTTGACAGCTGAAGGTTTTTTCCAACATGAAATTAGTCGCCGCCGTCTTGCCGTGTATGTAGAAGAGTAAATTTCATTGACCTTTGTAAAGCATTTGAGCAAACGGCGCCAAAGAAGAATGTGAAAGTTGCAAAGACTATCCAAGACCATGCCAGAACCCTTTGAAATTACTTCGAGGAAATTTTTTGCCACTCATACGGTTAAGAAAAACTGGCAATACGTTCAGGAAGGAAAACCTGCATCATTTATCATACAGCTCTGACATGTCGCCATATCGATCTCGACATTTTTGATCAATTGAAAAACTTGATCAAGGGAAATTGATTTGTGTCGGACGATGACGTAAGAGAAACAGCAAAACAGACATTTTGAAGAAGCAACACAAAGTGTTTTTTGAGAAGGGAATCATGCGACTCGTTAGCGAGACAAAACCTAAATGCTCGTAGAGTCCCCGGATCTTAAAATTTTTTCCAAAAGATTTTAGACCATTCTGGAGAGATGTTTGAGTAACGAAATTTTCTCATTGGTTTTTAGCATCGATCATAACAGAAGATAGTTCTGCTTTTTCAAATATTTAAAGGTCTCATACACTGGAACCATATCAGTGATGTTTGCTAATATACAGCTCTCTTTCAAAAAGAAAAAAAGAGGAGCTTCTTCCATTTATCGAATTAGTATTTCTAAAGTTATCTGAAACTTGTTTATGTTGTTTATAGTTGTGCTTTTAAAACGTGTTCTTACAAAACTGATAATTTGAAAGCAACAGTAATCGAATTTTGAAAAAAAATTACCGAAAAGTAAAATTAATGAATTAAAATAACTTCATCGCTTAAGGAAAGAGTATTATTGGTGCCAATAATGATTAATTAATTCTGATAATAGATATTACTAGTATCGGTGCCGATTTTATAACTACTAAATAAACTAATGTAAATTCTAAGATACATATTGCAGGTACTATTATCGGAGAAAATTTGTTGATTATGAGAAATTTTGACTATCATAAATTGAACCTCGAGCAATAGCATCATGCCGGATGATTTTGAATACAGATAATCCTTGTTTTGATAAAATGTACAACTGAAAACGTGTTTCGTTTATTCTAATAATGTAAAGCCGCCGGGAATGGGAACAACTAATGAATAAAAAAATGGTAAATTTGAGCTTTATTAATTGTATATGTGTCTGTCTTTCAATTTTTTGTCGGCCTTAATAGTGTTGGTTAATAACGATTAATTGATTAATCACTTTTTTTCACCCTGATCGAAAAATGGTTATTTAGTTAGTGCATAAACAATTAAAAATGGAGACATATGACTTACTACTTTCTAATTCCAGATTATATCAGCAAGGATTAAATCCGAAAGTGGAAAAACTCTATCCTCCTATGCAGTTTCCTGTTCCTAGAAACACGCCGTGTATATCTGATTTAATCAAGTGGAATCATTCTCTTTCGTTCAAAGTTCGTAAATGGGAGCCACAGACGGGTGAAAGCACTCAGAAATACAATCTAAATAGAGAAGCCAGTTACCTTTTAGATTATTCTATTGATGGAAAAACACTCTTCCCAGCCTCGGGATACATTGTATTTGCTTGGGAAATGTTAGCTAAAAACCAAAATAAAAAATGTGAAAATTTGCCAATTATCATTGAAAACTTCAAGATCAACCGAGCTATAGTCTTAAATATGGGTAAGATTTTTTTTTTCTCGCAAAAGTTGCTTTCTTTTAAACTATAAAATTATAGTCTCCGACTATTTAATAATTAAAAAGCGGATCTGTTAAAAAGGTTAGGTAAGTTATATATAAACTGCTGTTTGTAGAAAATGCAACACCATGAAAGAATCATCAGAATCAAATGAAATTTAATGCAGAAACGACTTGTACTGATACAAATAAATGATGAAATTTTCAAAACAAAAGAAACAAATTAAGCGTCCGAAATCAGTATTTGGTGCAGCCACCACGCGCTGCAATAAGTGCTGCTATACGACGTGGCATGGAGTCAAACAGATGTTGAATATCTGCTTGAGGAAGAGAATTCCATATCGCTTGTATGCGCAACCAAAGTTCGTCTTTGGAAACTGCAGGACGCGGATCACGAGTGAGACGCCGACCAACCATATCCCACACGTGCTCAATAGGCGACATATCCGGCGAATAAGCAGGCCAAGGAAGAAGTTGCATGCGTTGTGCTGAACAGAAGTCTCTAACAGTCCGCGCAACATGTGGGCGTGCATTATCCTGCTGAAAGATAGCTCCAGGGATGCCTTGAAGGAAAGGAACGACTTCGGGCTGTAGCACTTCACGGACGTATCTGTTGCTATTGAGATTACCCTCAATTCGTATCAAATTGGATCGTCCATGATACGAAATCGCACCCCAGACCATAACTCCGGGTGTTCGACCACTATGTCGTTCAATAATACACTCAGGAAGGCAGCGTTGACCGGCATAACGTCTAACACGAACACGGCCATCATGGGTCCACAAATTGAAGCGTGATTCATCTGAAAAGACAACTTGGTGCCAATCAGCTCGCCAGTCTCTGTGCTCAAGAGCCCACTGCCGACGCAGCCGTCGATGATCCGCCGTGAGGGGAATCCTGTATAATGGCACCCTTGCACGCAATCCACGGCGCAGCAGACGACGACGAATTGACGAAGCCGACAATTGTACACCTGTAGCAGTAGACCAATGTGCTGCCAGCTGCCTGGAGGAAGCTGTGCGATCATTCACCGCCATGCGGAGCAGGTGTCGATCATCGCGCTCTGACGTCACCTTCTGTCGTCCAGTGCCTGTTTTTCGAGTTGTTCGGTGCTCGTCGGTCCACTGCTTCCAAACTCGCATCACTGTGGAACTGTTCCGCTGCATACGAGCTGCTATTGCGCGATAGGAAAATCCTCCTTCTCGAAGGCCGATTATCCTCCCTCGTTCAAACTCCGTAAGTTGCTTGAATTTCTTATTCTTCCGTCGTGGAGGCATACTCAGGTCTCACTAAACGTTTGCCACTAACAAATAATCATAGACTATTTTCAACGTCCCGCTACAGCACTTTATTTATACGCTTTCAGCATCAATTCAGAGGGCGCTGCGCGCGCCACCCACGCGCGATGGCTCTGAAACTTTATTAATTTGCATAATATCCTATAATTGACATTTGCTGCGAATTTCATTTGATTCTGATGATTCCTTCATGGTGTTGCATTTTCTACAAACAGCAGTTTATATATATATATATTTAAACTCTTTATAAAATAGATAATTTTGATTTACCATTTCTAGAAAATACTGAATTGATTTTCAAAAAACTATTTAAAACTTGCTGAAGAAATGGTAGCATTTTGTTACAGTTTAATATTCGTTGTTAACATCGAAATTCAGTAAATTTTAAAAATTCAAATTTCCAAATTTTCTTGTTAATTTTTGTTACATAAATAAAGAATTACTATTATCAAAAGTAAATAAATGAACAAAAACGAAAATAGAATCAGTGCTTTCTAAGTTAAACTACAGCAAAGCCGATAATATGATTTTTACGCAGGCTGGGATGTAACGTCTAACTCTAATTAATATAGCAGCACCATTTAATAACTAGACATTATGTTCTGGCACCCAATTGAACATTACAAATGACGCGTTGATTGAACATTTCGTTATTGATTTTATTGTTTAGCACAACGCACATTTGCTCAAAAAGATAGATAGAGAACTTAGTTGAAAACTTGTATCGTGAAAAAGATGTAATGTATAATATCACGCAGGCATCATCAATAATAAGAAAATAGCTCTAAAAATCATTTCAAGACTTTCTCATCACATTTAAATAATAAGCTAGTAGATTAAAAGGTGTCCTTGAGTTAGGTGTGGGAATTATATGTAGCAGCTCTATAATTATTTCTGAGCAATAAAAAGTTACAATGCTTATTGAAACACTTTGTACATGACTTTCCATCTATAATTATTTTTTTAAAAAGTAGTTTGCCCAAAAACTGTAGGCTTTCAATCAGACACCCATTGGCTTGGTTGGCGTGCTCACTGAAATCGAATGGATTTGAATGCACATAATATCATAGAATTTATGTGAAATTTTTATACAAGCTATAACTGAACAGACATCTACTAATCAAAATGGCAGAAATAGGCAAAATGTGTTTTAATTCCATGTTAATGCTTGAAAATAACACAATGCAAGCTAAAGCTAATGCTTGAGAACAACAATCACTATTTTTGCTCTAACAAGTTGCTTGCACTAGCTGCAGTTGCATCATAACTTGTCCTTCCACTCTCAAAATCTCACCACTTATCTCTACATACCAGCTGTTCCAAAATTGTCTGACGATTTAGAAAATCAATTAAACGAACAGTTTATTTTGTTCTGCTTTGTGATCAATTTATTTTATTTTCGAATTGTTCACAAGTAGCTAACTTAAAAACACTTGCACTGATTTCTAAAATAAAACTATATTTTATTCTCCATGTTTGATCCTTTGAACTGAAATGTTTGCTCAGGCGACTTCAACCTCTGAATGAACCATCCTGTTGCTGAAATATTTGAGAACCTCGTATCAAAATTTCTCTCAGTTAAATTCGCTCTCACTTGACGAATTTTAAAACATGAATAAATCTATGTTCCGTAAAGCAGAACGCAGCAAACTTGTACGTATATATTGCATTCTGCTATCTTTAATTGAATTTTCTAATCATCAATCACTTTTGATAGCCAGTGTTCTGAGCAGTAATATTTTGATTCGAAAGTCTGCGTTCTAACTCAGGGAATTTTAAAGCCTTCTTACGCGTGTTAAACAATGCCCAGAATTCTAGAACAATAATCAAAAATTTTCTGAGGTGAAAGATGGGCTTCAATACATTTTTATTCCCTTTCAAAACGTTTATCCAATTAATACACTTCTTTTTCTACACAGTGCAGAATACTTTTACAAGCAGATCTGTAACCCCCACCCCCCAAAAAAATAACAATCTGCTTTATTTTCAGATGTTCTGGAATTAAGATTTCATCTCCTCAAGGACAGCAGAAATTTTGAGATTTTTGAAGGAAGTTCTTTAGTAGCAAGTGGACGAATAAATGAATGGGAGAATCGTACATACAGCGAGCCAGAGCCAGTATATGACGGTGACAAAGAGTCAACTGTTGATGGAAAAGATGTGTACAACGACTTGAGAATAAGAGGATATGAATGTGGACCTGAATTTCAAGGTCTAGAGAAAATGAGTCTTGACGGTACAGATATTTTAAAAAATACATGTACAAATAAACTTCTGCTGTTTTATATTTGCCAGGCTGAACTGGATTAGCAAACTTAGGGACTTTTCTTTCCTAAAAAATGTCAGATATTAAGTATAAAATCGTGCTTTAGTTTTATATCGAAATTTTACTTCTTCTAAGCCTTGAAGTAAAATGAGTCCTAGTAGACGAAAAAAAAGAATGGAGATTAAATCTACTATTTCTACTCAGACAAGATAATAGAAAAGGAAGGTTGTTGTGTATATATGAGCATCAACATTCTTAACAAAACTACTTAGTTAAGTTTTTTTTGTACTAAAAAAGAAACCATATATTGAAATCATACGTATGGAATCCGTTGCAATTCACTGGATTTACAAAGATTTTATCTCTCTTTCCGAGTATAAATATAGGTAGGGGGAGATTTTTTAAATAAATGAAGGGAAGATATTACTGATATTGTTCTAAACCCAAATTTTTCCTATTCTATATTAAAATTAATTCATTTTGAGAACGGTTAATTAGCCCACTTATATAATTGAAAACCTGTATTAAAAAGTCCAATTTCTTATTTCCGTATTACCTGACGATGTGCACTTAAGGGAAGTTTTTAATTATAAATTGGCTCTTAGACAAATGGGAAGGAAAATTGCGTGCATACGGATGAATTAAAAGCCTTTGAAAATTTTAAAACGAATCACTCAATACAGCGATTTTAATATTTGAGAGTTGTTTAACTTCTATTTTTGGAGTTCACTTAAAATTTTCACTTCTTGTATAATGAAATGATGTAGCTAAAGTACTTCCATGTTGGTATTTTTCACATGGAACACAACGCAGTTATGACAGAACAATATCCGTTTTCTATGAAGCAACAGACGCATATAATGGGGAAATAAGGATATCACCCTGAATAACTTTTGTTCAGAAGTTCGGACTTTCACAAACTAACTGAGTTCATTCGTATTGGGTTCAAAGGTTTGTCCAAACTTATGACATTTGCTAAGTAATTATTAATATTTATTAATTAAGTTAAGGAAGCAACCACTTAATTAATAAATTAGTTCTATTAAACTTTACATGCTTCCGATTGCGGATTTGGTGGATTCTTGATCATTGAAATAGTGGAGAGGGTGGCCAACCGCAATCATGAAAACATAGTCTTAATACCTTCGTCAGGAGAGTTATTAGATATTTTATATTTAAAGTAATTAATTTTAAAGTTCATTTTACTTTTGGGTATTTCGCCCTATTTCGGGAACTATAAAGGCGACTCCAAAAATTCAACCACACAATCATTAAACTTGTCAATTCAAAAATAAAGACGATGCAAAATTTAGTTTTTTTTATTTACTTGCTACTTTTTCTAATTTGATTTAATATGAGTATAAAAAGTTTTAAAATGTAAGATGTATGGATTTTAGTTAATAGATGTTAAACTACTTAATTTTAAGAGAAAAAATCTAGAATTTAAACTGGAATCGGTCAAATAATTTTGAATTATAAAGTTTGAAAAAAATCCGTATTTTTAATGCTTCATTTCTAAAAATATCCATTTGACAGATTTCTTTCAAATTTTGTATTTTATCATTTAAAATTATGTAGTTTAAAATGTTTTAAAAATTTATGTAGTTTACAAATAAAAAAAAACAACTTTCCAACAATTTTGAATAAAACAATTAAAAATGATAAATAATTTTTAAAAATTATTTTTATGTGGGATAATCTTTTGATTTACGATTTTAACGCTCAGGGGATTAAGAATTCATAATTTATAAAACTCAGAAATTAGCATTAAAGATATTTAAAAATTAACATTAAAGAGATTCAAAAATTAATTAATTTCAGAATCCCTTTTTTGCTCAATAAGGAACTCAGTAAATTCTTCCAAATAATTAATCGATAAATATTTAATCTAGACGCATTATGTTTCAAAAAATGATATCTTCTCGATAATTTTTTTATTAATTAATTAAAAAATTATTTTTAGATTAATTTTTGCCATGACATACCATGTTTTTGGCTAATTAGGAAAACAATATAATTTATTAAATAGATAATCAATGGATGCTTTATCTAGGCGCATAATATCTTTATAAATTTTATCTTCTCGTATGAATCTTCTTATAATTATAGACAAAATTATATCTTTAAGTTTATTTTCGATAAAATACATTTTATAGCAAATCTTCCCGTTTTTTTATTTATTATTATTTTTTTAAGTTTTTTTTTTCAATTAGTGAATTAATATATTAATGTTTACCTTTTCTAAACGCGTTATTGCTAAAACTTAAACGTTTGCTTGCAATTTATACAAAAAAAATAGCTAAAATATAATTAACAAATTTTACACCTAAAATTATAATTAAAAAATCATACATCTAAAATAGTAATTAAGAAAAATTTATAAACAAAATTATAAAAAGTTATAATTAAAAGCTATTTTTCTTCATGTTATTACCTCAATAATTAATTTCATTGGAATTTCTTTTTTCTTCATCTAGGCACTCAGTACACGGTGCGATGGAAAGAACGATGGATTCCTTTTCTGGAAAACTGTCTACAGACTTACGTAATGGCAATTTATGATGAGTTTGTCTTACCAACTGAAATATTATCAATAAAAATAGATCCTAAAGCTATTAAGAAAAGACTAACTTCTGATGAAAATAACAAAGGTAAACTATTATTTTTCTTACAGAACTTGCAATTAGTTTTCTGGTTTTGATCTGAAATAAATTAATGTTTTCAAACCGTAGTGAATATAAATTCGTATTTACGCATTGTGTATATCTTACGTAACAGGATATTTCGATGTTCTTGCTTCCATCATACATGGAATTTTAAAATTCAATTTTAGAGGGGTGATAGAAGGAGGCAATAATGTTAAAAAACTAACCTTAGATCATGGGGTCACATACAACAAAAATCACGAAAAATATGCATGTGCTAATGACAAGCTGAAAAACGACAACAGGGGATTCTACAAGCGAACTAACTATGAAAAGATTGATTTGATTATATATTACAAGGGTTGTTGGAAATGGAGCATCAAAACGTTATAGCCTAATTTGCAAACATAAAAACGATTCCCGGAAGTTATTAAATATATGCCAGGTGTGTTTTTGATGTCTGCTAAAGCTACAACAATTCTCTGTAAGATCCTTCGACCTCTGATGTTCACACGCATTGCATAAATTACTAAGTATTTGGTAAATACTGAGTATTATTAGCATTAGGTATTTGTAAAATACTAAGTACTAGGAGGCTTCGCCCCCTGCTCGCTGGCGCTCGCCAACTCCCGGAACTGATTTCGCAGTTCATTTCGGATTGCTTCGCAATCCAATGCTCGCTTTGTTCACTCATTGGATACGTTCTTAATGTCTAGCTTTTGTATACTTTTTTGAATACTGAAGTTCCGAAAACTTTTCACTGTAGAAAATTCGAAACCTGTACATTTCAATATTAATTTGAAATTGCAAAGAGTTCACATATTTTGCTTAATCACACTATTCTAAATTTCAGTTGTTGAGAAAGGTAACTGTTGTAAGTTTTGTTTTAAAGTCTTTCCCACCAGAGGGCTAAAGCCATGTGTTGTAAAACAATATGAAATAGTAGTCTGCCACTGAACGCCGGATGTAAAGCATCGGCTTTGATGAAGATAATTTTGTATTTTTAATTCTCTGAAGGGCGCCACCTTAATAATATGGAATTTGTAAAATAAATGTATATATTTTTGATTGTTGATGAAGCCCATCATTTTGTGTTTTCATCAGTGTTCAGAAGCAGAACAACTATAAGTTTTTTATTTCATCACAAAAATATAAAATGTATAAAAAACAAAGAAAAGAGTTAAGAAAATGAGTATAGTCATAGAAAAAGTTACAATTATAATATAGTATTTGTCAGTTAAAATAAAACTTTTTGTTTAAGTCATTGTTAACAATTCAAATTTCTCCAAGGCAATTCTAGACCTTAATTTTGTTCAAAATGTCAGTATTCAGACACACAACAGAAGTTCAATATGAAGTTGTAAAATGCATATATATATATATAAAACGTAGAATTTCAATTCACATCATTAGCATTATTTTTTGAAGAAAATTCATGTTTATTAATTACTTTCTACAGCTATGCAAGTCTATATTAAGACAGCATTAAATATTTACTTCAATCTGTACTTTCAGTCTTAAGAATCAAAAGATTTTTAAAAATGAAATTTCAGATGTGTTGGAATTTAGCACACACTNAACCTCTAAATATTATTTTTTTTATGTACACATTTCTAAATTTCAGTATTCAACCACAAAACAACTTAAAGTCCTCAAATTTTGCATGAAGTTGTAAAATGTAATGAAAGTGGGTCATAGCAATAATGTAAGTAGAAGTAAAGTTAGCACTGTAAAATTAAAACAATATTTTTAATCAATGAGCCAAGTTCCTCAAGAAGCAGTTGTAGAAGTAGCTGGATAAAAGTTTTTTTATTTAAAACCTTTTTATAGAATTTTTTTAAAAACACAATTGTTAAAATGGGCATTTGGCGATACAACACTCATAAAATTGAAGGATTTGTTACGTCAAGCGCTCAGGTATCATAATTTTGATCTAGTTGCGCTTCTATGTCATTCTGATTTACGTTGCTAAGTTAACTTTCAAAAAATTCTATGGCTGGCAACAGCATTTATATTTTTTAAGTTGCTTATTTTTATTTCTTTTAGAATTGATTCTTTTTTTAAGCGAAATGTTTTTTAACTTAGCAGAATTCTTTGCCGACTGTTCTCTGTATAATATGAAGAAAATAAAGTAAATATTTAAGTGTTGTGAAAAGAATCTTATTTAGTTGTACAAAGTACTTCTTTAAAAATGAAAACTGTTGCCACCAGCGGAAAAGAAATACAGCCAAAATTTGGGAGCCACGTAAGAGAATTATATATTATTATTAGTATCTGGTAGAATTCCCACCGATTTGCGAAAATCTCCAGACAAAAGCTCATTCAAACGGAAGTTAAAGGAATTCTTATTTAATGTTAATTATATTTAGAACTTCTCCTAAATTTATGTTTCTCTGTATGTGTTTCAAAAAATATATAGTGACTGCAAATTTTTAACTAATATTTAGCGACAACCTGTTTGCTGCCAATGTGTTACATGGTTAACCAATCGGTACCATATATACCAGGTAACGAAAATACTTTTTGCGTGCTTGTTTCTTCTCGAATGCGGTGGTCATGAAATTCACTGCTTGGTGAATTGCACCTGGTGAATTTCGAAGTGTAAGGTGATTGAATTCTGAAGATCCTCATTTTTTAGCATACAACTAATTTAGTATTAATAACTCCTAATTTAGATAGGACAAACCTCAACTGACCTATACATTCAACTTCTCTAGATTCAAAGCCTACATGCTTATTTTGAGATTTTAATCTTTTTTCAAACACTAAAGGTAGTCATCCTCGTGTTCTATTTTATGAGGCTTCTCTTATTTCGATAGTCAAATTTTTAACATTCTGCAAGTATTTTTAGAATCTTTGTTGCAAAAAACATTTACGGTTAACTGAGTCAAATGACAAAAGCATTAATATGTAACAATCTGCAAGGCAGGCATATGTTTAATTATAAAAAGAAATCAGGACACATAAAAACTTCTAGAGGAATATAAAATAATAATTAAGTTTCACAGTTAAGAACCGGGAGGGAGTGGAAAAAGTATGATTGCGTGCATATCGAATTAAATGACTTAACTTACAAAAGAAATCGAAAGAAAAACTTATTATACTTTTGTAATTAAAGCTATTATGGGGTATAAAAATCAATATTCACTGAGAAAAATATAAAAGAAATTTCTAAAAACCATTATTGAGGTTTGATTGCATTGATCAAAATTAGTTATGCTTGAAAATGAAACTGATTTTAATATTTTCAATGAGTCTTTCATGAAAATGATTCTTCAAATTGTCATACAGTTTTTTTATGCTTAAAACATTGATTTTCAATCAATTTCATGAATGTTTTATTAATTTATTTATTTTTACAAATGTAATTAAAATTTATTTTACGTAAACATTTTGAAACATTTTCAATTTAGGTTTCTTTTTTTACGTTATCCGGCATATATATAGTTAGTATGTATAGTATATATAGTTAGATTTATTATCTTAATCAAATATTTTGTTATAAAAAAAACTGAAGATTATAAAAATGATTTTATGTTGTCGGCTATACATGGTGTCCAATGATTATTGCGACAATTTTTAAGGTGAGGTAAGGGACATCACTAGGATTCAGATTTGCACAGCAGCCCTTGGTCAGAATTGTCTTCGTTCCGCTAGTTTGTGTTTGGCATGGTGTATGGGTTCCCTGGCCACCACGCTCTCCTGATTTAAGCATCATGGTCGTTTGTGTTGTTGCGTTTCTATTCGTTCGAGTTCACCAATACATGGCCCAAAGGTACAATGCTAGCAAAGGTGGAAACATTGATCATCTTTTGTGACATTTTTACATTCCATTTACCGCAGCGCATGTAATATCTTTGAACTATAAATATTTCAGATGGTCTCAATCTTGCGACTGTTTATTTCTGGTACCTGTAATACTACGTTTCCATGACGTTTCCAATCACGACTTGCTATGCAATTCTGAATCCTTGTGATGCCCCCAACCTTCCCTAAAGCTTGTCCCAATAATCCTGTGACATCCTGTGTTTCTTGACATCACCTGGAGTTATCATATAGCTTGAAATATTCCAATTGTTTTTCTTTCTCGGTGAGGAATTAAACGATTTTAAAAATTGATTTTTCGTCTTTCAAACGCATTTCAAAACATAGTAAAAAATACAATCCTATGTCTATGAAATTTAAATGCTTTCATATTAATTCTATAAACCAAGTAATCTCTCATAAACTTTTATTAGGGGCAGCACTTTTATTTCGCTTTTGTGCATCTTTGTGACTTTTTATTATGTTCACATTTTAATTCATGATTAGGGTGTATAAGTAACTTTCCCCATTTATGTTCAAAATTCTCGCCATTGTATTCAACAATATTTTATTTCAAAATTATTTCATACAACAGAGACATACACCACTGAAATTTAAGCTTTTATATTTCTGTGTAAGACGCATAAATATTGAAAGATTTATCACATCGTATGTTTTAAAATTATATGTAATGGATATTATTTCAAATTGCATGCAAAGATAAGTTTTACATTTTTAATAAAACATTTCACATTGTTCATTTTGCTAGCTATTTTAAATTCAACAAAAAATCTGCATGGTATTAAAAAATTAAAATTATGTATAATGACCCACCATGACCATTATTAATGCCACCATAATTTAGTAGTTTAATAAAACAAAAAATGTTAACAAAGGGAATCAGAAGGAGTAATTTAATACAAAAACGTGAAATCGAATTAAGACTTATTAACGAAAGAAACAAGTTAATAAATCTTATTTTGGAAGAATCAGTGATAACGGAAATTTCTTTTGTGCATTAATGTTATTTTGAATAAGGGATACTGCAGAGATATATCAAACTAAGGGAATTCTCTTGCTTTATTTTGGAACATTTTTAAGTTAACAAATGTGGCTATACTTATATTAACAAAATTAAATATCAATCAGCATTTCCTTTAAAGAGACCAAAATAGTTTCTTTTCACTTCCATTTAATATATCATGTCTTGTAACTATTAATATTAGTACTGGCGGTCCATCGAGATTCCAAGACATTTAAAGCATGGTAAGAGATCAAAATTTGGCGAGTTATTGATACATAATATGGCCAAAAATAAGGCCAACCTCACTATATTAATATAAAATTTTAAACAATCTGGTCACAGCTTAATCCCCAAAAGGACGTTTAGAACTTAATATAACCCTATAATCGAAGCATTTTTGTGTTTATAGAAATAAATCTGTTGAAAGAAAAGTAAGGTTAAAAAATAGATTTTGATATTCAGTTAGTCGTGACACTGAATTAATGAGTCATACAGTTGTATTGAATTATCAAAACTAGCCGTTACATTGATTGTTAAAAAACGAATAAAGGTATTTATACTCGCCTTTTATTAAATGTGATAAAAAAAATTATGAAATTGATTTAATTTAATTATAACAAGATTAAGAAGGATTTTAAAAAATTTAATTTATGATATTAAAGACATTTTAAAAGCTAGGAAATATGTAATGCTTATAATGGCATCACAAATAATTTTGTAGTTGTTTTTTTATTAGTGTTAATCTTAGCATTGTTATGATCGATTCGATATTAATTCATTGCTGTGTAAGAGTTTTCATACGTTTCTCTTACCTAAATCACTGCCTTAATGAGAAATTTATAACATTAAAGGAAAAACTCTGAAAATAAATGTCAATAACTGTCATTACAGAATACTTTGTATATTTTAATGTAATCTAACATAACAGTTCACTTCAGTATGCCTTATGCTCTTCATAAAATCTATTCCTTTTTAATCTATAAATCAAAAATATTTTCCAGTGACTTACATCGGATAATAACTCTATTTTTTGTGCTTTTTTATAGAGATACCTATGAAAATAAATAAAAACACGAACATTTGCCGCTCAATTGGTATTGAAATTGAACACGTATCTGCTGATCGTACAACTCGTCGAATAAAAGAAGTTATGCCAGTGCGGGAAACTCATACTTTTGTTCCTTACATGTTCCAACACACATTCGAAAAAGAATGCAACGAATCATTACAACGATATATGAAAAATTGTAACAACCTTCTATTGGTAATAGGAGAGAAGTTGAAAATGAAAACAGACAAGTTAAAGTTCAAGTTAAAACAACAAGAAAGTATCGTCAAATGCGACGTCGAAGTATTGCACGGAAACCCAAGTCTATTTACGTGTCTAAAACATATATCGCAAAATGGGTTATCACAAAAAAATATGCAAAATGAACTAGGTTTTTCTTTTGAAGAATTCGGAAAGGATCCTGTGAATTTTGCTATAACAACAGGATATGCTTTAAAGATTATGTTGGACATAATTGCAGAAAATACATTTCAGAAACTGAATGTAACTGAAATCGGTTCACAATGCTCTCCAATTCTACAACATATTGGAGCTTTTTCAAAGAAGCATCCTCATTTACGATTTAAAAGCTACACACTTTTATTAGAAGATGAGAACTCAATAGATAACGATATCTTGTCACAGGCTGATATTACTTTACTTCCCTCATCATCAATATCTAAATTAGGTTTTGAGAAGAAAGATGTTGTGGTGTCTTCGTTTTACAGTGGCTCTTCCACCGCATTGAAAAAGCTTATTGGAACAGCATGTTCTATACTTGCAAGAGGTGGCTTTGTATTACTTCATCACAAAGAACAACTAACATCATTAGAAGAATTCTTATCGAAGCAGAGTGGACGAAACATTCACATTCAATCGCGTTCCAAACTCGAACAGATTTTAAAACACTACAAATTAATGATCGTTAGCTGTGCACGTAATGCTTATGGATCAGCACTGTACCTACTCCGCTTTGCTATGTCGACCGACAAGAATTCGGTTTTAAAAATAACCGCAAACCATTCTTTTTCCCGGGTCGATGAGATTAAAAAAAGTTTAAGACAGAGTGACAACGAATACATTTGGCTTATATCAGAGGATGATGCCAGCAGCGGAATGCTCGGAATGGTTAAGTGCTTGAAACAAGAACCAGGAGGTGAAAAAATAAGGTTTGTGTTTCCCAGTACCATTTTTTAAATTATTAAAATTTTCAATAATATTTCCTCGTATCTGCTTATAAGAATTGATAAATAACTACTTTTTATATTGTACTTTTTATTTTGTTCTGGAATAGATTTTTACTAAGCACTGAAGGGGAAGAATTCTTTGGTACTGGAATGCTACTAAAAATCCAGCGTAAATAGCAAAGTTGGGCTTAATCGATTGCAAATGAAATTGATTAAAATACTTTTATAAATCTCGATTTATCGTTGAACTACGATATTTACACACAGAATCATGATATCATGAAAAATTTCTTTCACCCTCAACTTGAAGCTAAATTGAAATTTCCATTCAATCAGGTTTGGAAACTAATAATTTCATAGTAATCAGTCTCAAATTAGCTTCATTTAGTTTTCAGCTAGAAAGATTTGGTAAACTCGAAAAGCTATCCTGCTATTTTTCCATTATAACCTTAAATGATGTATGAAAAATAAAATCAATTATTTGTAATTTGATAATTTACTATCACTTAATTATTTCTGTAAAGAGAATTACATAATTAGTACATTCATGATACCAGAACCCGGAATTTGATGACCTAGAAGATTCTCAAAAGAAAGTATAAGTATTAATAATCCCCTTAAAAACATCCTAAAGTAATAAATAATCCTCATATAAGTAATAAATGAAAAGACTTATGCTGTTTGCCGCTGTTCTGCCATCACTTCTCCCTCTCATATCTGATATTGTATTGGCGCCTCTGTTCAGGGTATGGTTATGCAGGGTATCTCTGGGCAGGGTATTGGTACCTCTGTGAGGGGGGTGTAGTTTTTGATTTAATTGTGTGACAAGGTTTCCTGGACTTGGTTTAGTTTATCTAAGCCAAAGGGGACAAGCAACAACAACATGAGTCCTAATTAATCATCATATAGGTGAAAAATAATCCCGTTAAAAACATTAAAAAGTGATTTTAAAAATATATTTATTGCAATCAAAGAAACATTTTGACCTTTCTAATATAATTTATTTCCTAAAACGCGTATACTAAGAAAGATTGACATGTAATTTGCTTTAAAATATTATCAAAGCTCATTCGAGTTGAAATAAAATCGAAATCCATCATTTTATTGTATATCATTTGAAACAAATGATTTTCAAATGTAAAATATTTAAACTATTTGTGAAATTACAGCCAAATACAGAGTGATTTACTGTATCTATAGTCCTTCAACGTTCAGTATCAGTATGTGAAATTCAAAAATCTTAGAACATCAATTAAAATGAGTAAAAGCTGAAAAAATGGGCCAGCACTTTTGAAGAATTCAAACACTGCTTGAAATAAAAAGAAAAAGACTTAAATTTTTTAAAAAAATATCATTATTTCAAAAATGACCGAAAATTGATCAAAGAGAGCAAAAATCTGCAACAACAACAAAAAATATGTAAACGTCATTACAATGCAAATCAAAGTGTTAGCATTTTATTTTGATGGCTGGAAAAATATGAAAGCTTAAGAGTAAGCAATTTTAAAAGTAGCTAATTTCAATGTTCCCAAAAAACTCGATTCAACTCGAGAAAAATTGTTCAAGCAGTATATCCTAAGATGTTCAAAAAACCTGTAACGCTGTATTACAAACAGACAACTACTTGTAACTTTAAAACCTCACTAAAAACTTCATGATAATAATGGAAAATAGTGGTAAATAGTAGTTGACATGTTTCAAACGCTCAGAAGTAAGTGGCCATTTTCAAGACTTACTAGCGTGAATGAAAAGAAACAAAAGTCATTTGAAATGTAAAACATAAGGATGCCAATGAAAAATAAAAAAAATTAAACTGAGAAACAAAACTTGCAACAACGTAGTAACCGAATGAGAGAAAAACAAAAGACAGAACAAGAAAAGCCTCAGTGGCCGAGTGGGATGAATCAGGGTAAAATGCATATCCACGCGCTATCAAGATATGGTGAGGAACTAATGTCGTTAGCAAGGGAATCAGTATTCATATGAATAAAACAAAATTCCAGGTCATCAAAACCAATCCACAACCATTTCCACATCATTCACATCAGTTTATCTTGATGCCCTGTAATCTTGTTTTATTGGAAAATTAGTAACTGGAGATTACTTCCAATTTAATCGAAAACTTAGTTGCTGCATAGTTAGTCTACCTTCAGAAGATGATAGAAGATCAAATCATAGTATTAATAAACCACAAGTTAAAGTAAGGATTTCGTAGAAACGCATTTAATGAAGTTTTCAGTAAGCGATGAGAAAGCGTTGAGGCCCTTCAAAATTCTTCAACACAATGAATTTCCTCCATCGAAGGTCTATCGTCTTCTTACAATGAATAAACGGTTTTTGTATTGAGAAATAAAATAAGGAAATTGAAATAAGTTTTATTTAAACGAAAATAATGATAATAATATTTGTCTCATTCGGTTCCCAACAAATGCAGTCCAACGAAGTGTTAAGCAATGGGAAACATGGTGACCATCCATAATGACGAGTTCTTTGAAAGGGGTACATTACAGGATACACCAATTTTAAACCTATGTTTATAGATATTTTTGTCGAAAAATAAGTTTCATGAGGCACACTACATGAAGGTAGATCCCAGTTTTTATAATTTTTAATAATACAAATTTTGTAATCTTCATTATTTGGTCTATCAGGTGTGTGTTTGTTTCATCCAAGAAAAATAAAACATGGCCTCCGTCTTTTGACCTTAATAATTCTTTCTACAAAGATATATTAGCCAAAAACTTGGTGATGAACGTTTGGAGAGATGAATCATGGGGCTCAATTAGACATTTAGAGATTCTTGAACGTAAGTATTCTATTAGTATAATTTAGTTATACATTTCTTAATACAATATAAAAACATTTTGTTTTAGATTTGGCTTACTCGAATTTAGTATTTTAAATGCAATAAACATTATAGTCTTTCTTTGGATTTAGTTATAGATTATAAAAAGGTATGTATTTAAAAGAGATTACGTGCAAAAAGCTTTCAGATGAATATTTTATAGTAATTACACTCATATTAAAAAATCGAGGAAAAAATTAATTTTTGCAGATAAGCTAATAAATAATAAACCAATTGAGATGAATATATATCAAAGTATAACAAAAAAGATGATAACAAAAAAGTACTAGCTCGAGTTCAAGATCGTAAGTAAATGAACATCACAACAAAATATTTCAAAACTTGTGTAGGAAAATGGCTTTTGAAGTGAGTTAAATATAGGAAATGGCGCTCGCAAACTACAACGCAGATACTAAAACAAACTTCCATACTATTTAGAAGGTTAACCAATGTTTTGAGACAGTCAATCTAAAGGTCTGGTTTCTTAGGACAAGCGCCTTATCTGGGCGTCAGCGGGACGTCAACGTCACGCTGACGCCAATAAAATACTGGTTTGTTAGCTCAAGGCCTGGTTTCTTAGAACTAGCGCCTTATCTGGGCGTCAGCGGAAAGTTGACGTAGAGCTGACGCCAAAAAAATACTTTTTTGTTAGCTCAACGTAAGCAGTCGCTCCAACGCAGACATTATCTCTCATTGCGCATGCGTTAATAACGTAAACAAATATTTATTTTGAATTTGTATTGATTTTGTTATTGTCGACCAGTGTCTTAGAGCACAAATAATGACTTTGTCCAAGAAAAAACACATTATAGCTGAGCTAAATTAAGAGTGCTATGTTTAATGAAGAAGCTATGTTTAATGTCAAAATCAAAATCTTGGCTAATTTAAATGTGCTGTTGGATGTTGTCCGCCATTGCTTCTGTGGTTAACGTCACGTTGTAATCCAACTGCAGTTGAGTTGGACGGCAATTGTAGTTCAAAATGAGCGTTCGATGACGTATACTATCAAACTCACAAATGGACCAATCAAAGGTTAGCGCTGATTTCCAGCTGACGGCGTACTGTCCTAAGAAACCATGCCTTAAGGTATAAGGACAAAACTTCCACTTTTCAAGGCAGTTTTCTACCCTTAGAGGCTTCTGGGAAAAGTGAGGAGCTACAATTGCCGTGCCAAGAGCATCTACGGAAATGGAGTTGAATGAATTAGAGACCGCCAGTGCTACGTAACAGACTTACATTCGACTCTTTAATGTCTTACCTCTCAACTTCAGAGTAGGCAACAATCCCAATAATCTTCCCAACAATCCTGATAATCCTTTCCCAAGAATCCAGACCACAGTAAATCCGATCTGAACTAGTACTAACAACATCTGCTTTAGGAAATGAAGCCCCCACGCCAGCTAGTTTGAAGTTCTTAGAATTTTGAGCCTGAAAAAAGCAGCTTCCTCTAAATTATATTTCATTCTAATTGTAACAGATTTTCTCTATTGATTCGTAATTGCTCTCTAATTTCAAAAGAATTTTTTTTTCAAAAATTTAAATTAGTTTTTACTTTTTCAAATGCTCAACTCTTTAACTACCCAAGCAGAGGAAAATTTACCACCGTTAACATCCTTAAGACCGTAGTAATAGAGATATAATACTTATTTTAAAATGTTAGTATTATTTCTGATAGTTTTATTTTGCAGGGATGGAGCTAAAAAATGTTGAGCACAGTTTCGTAAGATGCAGAAACCCTGGTGACCTCTCCTCATTCGCGTGGATAGAATCACAAGTAAAATACGAAGATTTAAGGGATAATATTCTAGCTCATATTTATTATTCTGCAATAAACTTCAAAGACGTTATGGCTGCAACAGGAAAACTTTCAATAAGAGCATCCAAAACAGGTAAGTTATGATTCCTCTGCAATAGTTATCCAAAATTTCTGAATTAGTTAAGGAAAAAAATCAATCAATAAATAAATATGTAGTTACTTGATAGTGCCGTTGCATTGTATAACAATAAGATATAAGATATGTAGTAGCAATCAAACAAATTATGATAAATAAAAAAGAACTACATTAAGTTGCGGCTTATGATATTTTATTGCTAATTATGCATAAGTATTGCTATATTATGTATAAGTTATACACGTTGTATAAGAATTAATATTTTTTAATGGAGGGTACTTGGGTCTATTTCCCATTAACCTCAGAAATGTCAGTACTGCCACCCTCTTATCGTTACCTCATGGCCACCTGTGGCTAAGTCACGGCGGTGGAGCAGCGCCGCTCGCGTCATACAACCAAAAACCCGTTTATAGAGCGGGTTACATCCACACAATCACACAGAAGAACGAACATAAAACACACACAAACAGAAAGATACATTCATGCCTACGTTGAGATTCGAACCCATTACCACTGGTCCCGTATTCTCGTACAGTAACCACTAGACCAGTGATCGGCTATTAATAAAATTTGAAATGTACTGATTGAGTAGTTTTTTTAAGTCTATTTTATAGTTAAAGCGCAATAATTAATAAAAATTAATAGCTATATATTCCAAAATATGACTTCAGTTAAAAAAAAACGTCTCATTCAAAATATTATTTGATAATTTATCATCACCTCTCGCCCTGCCCAGTGGCACATAAGACCCTCAGTCTTGCTCTCTAATCTCTCCAGTTAGTCACAACCACTCTCTCTTCCTTTCCACTGGTTCATCCAACCTCACTTTCTCTTTTCTCATCATTTTGTGCCAAGTAAGTTTTAGGCGTTTTATCCGTCATTTTCCCATTGGTGCCCAGTTTACCGCGACGCTATGAATTCTATCTCCATACATTCTTAACATAGGGACAGTAAAGTGCCATGTTCTAACTTCAAACTCTTCATCTATGAGTTTTACTTTGTTTTTTGCAATAACATTTCATTAATAATGGCGTTAGTGTTTACTAAATATTAAAATAAAAAATATACATATCGCATACATTACATTTACGTCAATGACTTAGTAACACTATTTCTAAAATTAAGCAAACAGCACTTAAAAAGTAATAGTTTCGTGCCATATTGCCTTGAGTTGAAGATAAACTTAGATATAAAGCAAAAATAAAATGTATATCCTTTTAGTTTCCAGATAATGCCGTGTTTATACTTTTGGATTCACACATAATTGAGATTAAAATTTATATTGACTCAGAACTGACACCTGATCATCTTTTCTTCTGCCCTGCCATTTTGGCCATCTTGCAAAAGATTCGTGACAGTTTACAAGAAGATCTTTATTCGGACATTTGCCTTGGTATAGATGAAACAGTATATAGGACCTTCTGTCCCTTATAGTATCTTATTGATTTGTTAATGATTTATTTTCCATGTCCGTAGCACGACAACCAACCAACTAACTTTAAAAATGTATAAAACACAGAATAAAGTAGAATGAACATTAATTGATCTTGCTCTAATAAAATAAACAACGTTCAAGACGAAAAAATAATGCAGCAAAAACATACTATTTTCAATTCTACGTTAATTTCCAAACACAGAATGAAAGAGAAAAACACAGAGAACAACAAAATGACAGAAGTTACAAGGAAAAAAGGGTGTGGACTAGGTCTTGAAAATTATATTGCTCGACGTGCCCGACCGAGCACGTAAATGTTCAAATAAAATGACCTAAAGTAACAAGATCACAGATGGGGCAGAAAAATGGAACCCACAGATGATGTACAGAAAAAGAGAGAAAACTAACTATATTTGTCAATACTCGGTAAAACATGTAAGAATGTTGAGCTTTTTCGTACCCAGGTGTTGATCAACAGTATTGTTGAAAAAAGTTTGAGCTAGACAAGTTTAAATAAACAAAGAAAGGAGACCAGAAACTGGTGATGGAAAGCGTCAAAACCCAGTTGTTGTATTACAAAATATTAGGAAAGCATGAGATAATAAAGAAATCATTATCTAAATTGATTTATTTTTAAATAGAAAATGATTCTCAGAAATTTATATCAGTGTCTGAGGAGCAGTGTTGAATGAATTTAGCAGATGATGAAAACGGACACATCCTTTCATTTTAGGGGTGCAGATTATTGGTCATTGTTGTAACTTGGCCGTTGTTGTCTCTCTTTAGTTGTACTTTATTTTTGTAATTTTCTTCTGCACGTATGATTCGTTCTTTGTTTAGATACATATTATGAATCTTTATTACTATTACTGTAACTTTGTTTAACTTATATTATTTGTGCTTTTATAACATTGAGCATTTTGTTGAAAGTAATAAAGAAAAATCTTTCAGATTCATATCTTGGGTTTGAATTTTCGGGTCGAGATGAGAGCGGACGTCGAATAGCCGGAATTACAAAAGGTTGTGGAATTGCAACAGCCACTATCGTAAATCCCGCATTTGTCATAGATGTACCTGATGAATGGAGTCTAGAACAAGCTGCAACTGTACCTGTTGCTTATGCAACGGCCTTTTATGCACTTATAATTCGTGGAGGTCTCTGTAAAGGACAAAGCATTCTCATACATTCTGCAACTGGAGGAGTTGGATTGGCTGCAATCAGAATAGCAATCCATTACGAATGCGAAATATTTGTGTCCGTCGGTTAGTAAAATAATAATTTTTTAGCACAGGAAAACTGAACTTCTTGTTTAACTACATATTTCATGAGTGAAGGAACATATTGGTGCTGTTTTACATGCGCTTAAATTACGATCTTCCTGGTACAAAAAACCAGCAACGGATATTCAAACGAATCAAAGCAGATACGCAGCTACACCGTCAGATACAAAGTAGTGTCTGCTGCATTATATATATATATATATATATCACACACAGCAGCTTCCCCCAGTTTACATATTCAAAGAGTTGGACTTCTTCTTTTTTCCATATTCTTTAAGTGAAAGCTTTCATTATTTAGGATCAGGCTATTCAGCTTATGATCTATAACAAATCAAATTTTTAAAAAAATATACGAGACCGCAAAAAAAATGTTTTGACCCATGTGCGAGGACAGGTAATTCTCTATCATGAAAAATAAAATGATAGCACTTCAGCAGATTTATGTAGGCAGAATAAAATCAAGTTTTTTTTCTGTATTTATAGTAGAAGAAATCAAAAATAATTTTGCGTATCAAATTGCATAGCTGCTCAGTACTGAGTCAGTTAAAATTAAAAACTTTGATTTTAACTGAAACTCTCTTTTCTTGTTCAGAAATTCTTTTTTTTTCCCCGTTTATCAATAAATGGAGACAAATGAACATAATAATAGATGGATAAAGAGATAGAGATTTTATTCTTTACACACTATCACAGATTACTGTATAGGTTTCAGTGATGGGAATGTCAGACGTCAAATGAAACAATATGGCAATGAAACATCATCATTAAGAGTAAAAGATAACAAACCATCAAGAAACTTCACACCATCAAGAAACTTCACAAACTCCAATTACAGGTTATTCGTTAAAACATTTAAAAGTTATTAAAAGAACAATTAAAACTTAAACTTTTGATTGTAAACATCTCATACTACAGGTGGGCGTCNATAACAAAAGCTTATATCTCTCCTTAATATTGTCCTTAATATTAATTTCCTCATTTTAATACCATTTAATTCCCTCTTATATATATATATATATATATATATATATATCATGAAGTATCTAATAGATCTGAAAACAAGTTTTCTCTTCAAATTTTAATTTCTTGGATGCTGTTCAACTAATGCAATTGTGATTTTAGATATAATTGTAATTTATTTATTATTAAATTTTTTTCATGAGTGCTAATTAAACTTTTATTTATTAAAGAAATTATATGCTTAATGTCAAAAAAATTATTTTAACGAATGCGGCTGTGCATTGAAAAAACACAGTTCGGTCACTAAAAATGTTTTGTGTTTTGTCATTAAAAAAACCAATATCAAAACTATGTTTTGTCATTAAAAAAGTAATAATTAATACTTTAAAGAAGTTCCATTTCTCAAGAAATTATCTCTGAAGGAAATCTCCTAAAAAAATCGAAAGAAATGTTCTAATTGTGAGCAAAAATGTTTAAAAAATTCTCCTTCGCTTAAATTGCTTTGTTGATATGACGAAAAACGGAAAAGGAGTAATTAACATAATGACCCGAATTTTCAACCGCAATAATTATTAAACTATTAAGAGCATATTTTCCCGATTACATCTATTCCCCATAATTTGAAGGTTAAGAAACCTATTCCGCTAAAAAAGATATTTTTATTCAGAAGAATTGTGCGTTTTTGAATCAGATTTCGCAACATAAAATCTTTTCTGCTCTAATTAATTTCATATTTTATAACCATCGTAGAACAAGCCGACCCAATTTTGGGTTTACGACTACCAATATTCAACTCAGTAGCCTTGTAATTTTGAAACCACTCCAGAAGACAAGGGAACTCCTTGATTAAATATTTGGAGAAAAATGACTTCGTGGAAAACTTTTTCATAAAACTAACTCGCATTTGCGTTATATGGAGAGAAAAACCATGAAAACATCTCGCCGTAAGCCTGAAGGTAAGGGGACTCTAGCCCATGATCCGTCTACCAATGACGATATTTTAAGTCAGCACTGTTGTTTGTGAGAGCCAGGTTCGGAATTCGCATCGACCATCCATCGCTGGGATTCGAACCCGGTTCACCTCATTGGAAGGTGAGCGCTCTGTCCCCTGAGAAACCACGGCTTGCTGTAATTAATAAGCAAGTTTAGGGGTTGTCCCACTGAACCATTAAATTTGAACCTGTGTACGTGATAGTGACATTGAAGGACGTAAATTTTTGACAGCTTTTCGTTCTAAACTATTAGGACCATATGCTCCAGATTGCATCTATTTCCCATATTTTGAAGTTCGATAAACTATTTTCAGTGAAAAAAGGTGCATTTATTCAAATAAACTACCTATGTTTTGCGTCACATTTTGTGATTTAAAATATTGTCTACCTAAATTAATAAGCATGCTTTAGGATCTCTGACTGGAAAATTAAGATTGCCCCTGAATACGCTTTATTCTGATCCCTTTTTAGAAAATTCTCTTACGAGGAAATGCGGAGTGCAACTGCAGGCTTAAGTTAGGAAAAAAAATTATCGTATTGTGAAGAAAAACGTTCTTAAATTTGGCGATGTGCAAAGTGAAAAAGTGGCCTGAAGAACATTGAACAAGGATAACCAAAACTAGATCTGTCTTTAAAAGGAGGATTATACTCGTTGTGATTAAGTTTAATATTTTTCTAAAAATGACTTTAACAATATAAGTTTATTCTGCTGAAAAACGAAACAGAACTATAATGATACAATAAACTCTTAAATTTATTTCACAAATATTCATGGCAAAACATTAATTTTTTTGCGAAAATTTTAAATTCTTGTTCACAGTTAAAAATTGTACCATACACTTTACTTTCAAGTTTTTCAATTTTATAAAAATAGCAATTAAAATGTGCTTTTATTTTAACTCTTCAAACGAGTATATTTACTTCTCAAACGTGCATATCATAACTTTGATTTCTGTGCAAAAATATTTTCCCATGCAAATCTTTTAAAAAGTACCAACAGTTTTATTGTAATGGGTGAGTAACCAACCCTGTAATACTACAATGAACTCTTTAAAATCTGACATAATAGGAAAACTGTCACGAGATAAAAAATACTATTTGAAATGCTTTTGCGATTCATTTGGTAATCAAACTGCTTCTGAGTATTTCAGTATATTTTTTCTCAATAGTGATTCATCAAATTTTGATAACTTTTTAGCCTTTTCTCATTTCAATCTAAACTTGTGACCTCTAATGGGTATCTTTTTTTATTCTTTGTTTAAAATATATACATAAAAAATAATCATCACGAAGCACCCTAAATAAAAGTCTTAAAATGTAACAGTTTCTGTTTTTGTGTCGTTTTTTCAAGCAATAAAATAACTAAAAATAGATTATGAAAAATCTGTGTTCCAGTTCGTACACAATTTATTTTTCTGAGTAGAGAGTATTAAATCAAATTATAAAATTAAATAAAATTGCCAGGAGATTCATTTTTCTTACTTGATTTTTCTGGCTTATTTTCTAAGATTGAAAAAAAAATTACAAAAATTTATAAAACTTGGTCATATGAATAAAATTTATATGTGTGTATAATTTTGTAATGGCCGGCCAGGTGGACGAACGGTTAGCGCGCCTGACTGCGAAGCCAATGGCTGCGGGTTCGGATCCCGCTCTGGGCATGGATGCTTCATTCTATGTGTTGTTCTCTGTTGTGTGTGATATGTGAATGCGACCCACCTTATTAAAGGGGTACTTCTGACAGGTTGGCGTGGGTAATGTTGCTCGCCTCCTTGACTTAGGTTCACAGGTGCCCACTGGGTAACGTTAAATGAGCAGCACTTCCGGCATCTTCCCAGGTGAAAAACGAAAGTTCAGTTCCAGCCGTTAGAGAAAAAAAAAATTATCGAGTTAGTTTTTATAACTTTTTTAATCATATTTGATGAATTTTTTAAATCTGAGTATTTTAATTCATCGAGAGAGCAAATAATTCGTTGCTTTTCTTTCAGTTTACAAATAAGAATTCGCTGTCATTTAAAAAAAAAATTCTAAATAAATCGCTTAATTATTTTTAGGTACTGAACTGAATCGGAAATATTTACGCAAACTCTTCCCCCAACTGAAAGAGGAAAATATTTTAAACTCCAGAGAAAACGATTTTGAAATGATGATAAAGAACAGAACAAAGGGAAAAGGTACGTATATGTTTTGTTCAAATACATACTTTCAACGTTGAAATCCAGTAATTTCATTGCAACAGCTACAAAATATTCTAAAATAATGCATATAGAAAATTAAAAATTTAAGTGATAATTTCCAAACTAATTTTATATATTTTTGTTGAAATTTTTCTAGCTTAGGCAAATTACAATTAAAGTACAAATGTTCAAGTTAATGATATTAAGAATAAAAATTGAATGCACAGTTTAAAAATTATGATTAATTCTTGATTTCACTTTAAACAATTTTTATAGGAGTGGAACTTGTTCTGAATTCTGTAGCTGACGGTACATTTCAGGCAAGTCTTCGCTGCCTGGCTAAACATGGGCATTTTCTGGATATCGGGCAATATGATTTGTCTCAAAATAGAAACTTAGGTAAACACGTCTTTTTACATAAGCATATAATGAAAAAGTATTTATATTAAAATTTTTCCACTTCGACATATCAAACATATGTAAATAAATGTTCTAGAAGAAACCACTCGTGAGTTTCAACGCATCTCTTATCAGTTTCATTGAATAATACATTCCCACAGTAGCCCGTTGTAGGCCAGGGAAGACGTGGAGGTTATTGCTCCAAAATTTCACGATTGTGTAGTTATTATGGCAATATGGTCAGCGTTATAATAAGTCACTCACAGACAAGCTGGTACGTATCGATCTGAAGCTAGGTTGACTTCAAGCCACCACTGAGGCTCAAACCCCACTACTTGACAATGACAATGCTGTTATTTTAACTAGTTAGGCATCGAGGAATTACTAATACTTGGAAGTTAATTTATTGGATTAATAATTCGATATTAAAAAATTCGCAGCCGTTTTCAACGGAAATAGAAAAGTAATCTGTTATTTTTAAGTTCACACAGAAAAAGAAAAAATTATTTTCTTGTTTGTCATTTGTCAACTTTGATTCGAATACATTTAACGTAAACGATCTTGCGCACCTTTTTTAAAGGACCACTCTCTATACTAAAATCGCAAATATTTCTTAACATGAGGGTGCTTTAAATATGATTGAAAAGAAATATTCGAATTACATCAAGCTTGATCCGAGACAAAGCTCTTAAATTAATGCGCTTAAAGGCTAATCTTTTCAATTACTCAACTAAACATCTGGGCAATGTGCAAGTGTTTGTATACCACATAAAATAATAAAAGGTACACTCCTTAATGATTTTTCATTTAATCATTGCATTTTCAGATACTAGCACTTAATGCTTAGGAGGAGGGCTTAACGTTAAATATGCATGTTTATGGCTAAGCCCCGGTATGATTATGACACATATTATGACAAATGGTATTTAAAGAATTTTCAAAAACAATTTTAATTTTTTACAGCAAGCAAAACCGTTACTGATTTCAATGTATGTAATGAAGAGCAAAAGTTTGCAAACTGTAAGCAGAAGGGATGGTGAAGAATGCTCATTCGAAAAGACAAAAATTTAGAAATCAATCGGCAATGAATTCAAAGGCATTTTTATTTAATCTTCTAATTATATAATTGGAATCAGCACAAAAGAAATCACCTTTCAGTTTTAGAAATTTATGAAGAAAATTGAAAACCCCTTCTGAATTACTTTAAAAATCCATTATTTTCATCAAAGTGTTGTGCTTAAATCTTTAAGTATTAGTATTTGTCATTGCATCGATATCGATCGTAATTTAATCTCACATCATAATCTAGCCTCACATCATAATCTTATATTTTCTCAACTAATTATACCTCTATTTATAGACAAACTTAGGAAATTTTCAGAAAAGAACTAACTGAAAATTCAACTAACTGATATTTCCATTTGTTTATATCACAAAATTTCTGGAAGGATTTAAAGCATAAAACGAGGAGATATTAAAGGAAGAATATTAGCTTTGGAATTAAATTAAAGGTTTAAAACAGACATTTTTTATAAAAAAAGAAAGTAAAAGTGCTTAATTAAGTAATGGGTAAAATAAAAAAAGGTAGAAAGAGAAAATGTGTGACAAGCAACATACATATGCTAAATAGAAAAATAAATTAGTTAATTTACTATGTAATTAAAAATAACATTTAAATCTTAATTGTATTTTAATTTTAATAGAAGGTTTACACTTACTATACTCCTTGCCTCTTCAAAAAAAGAAGTTTGATTAAGTTTGAAAAATGCTTAGACTAAATAATTAAATGTTTTAAATTTTTCCCCATTTTATGTTTTATTAAAGGATGAAAAAATTCGTAATTTAAAAAACAAATGGGCGAAAATACGATAGCTCTTCAATTATTTATCCGAAAGTATTTTCTGGACAGTTAATAATAACGCATAATTGCTTTCAAACTTTTACAGGATAATTAAAATATTTTATTCAGTTTTATTATTTATTTTTAGGTTATTTAGTTAACATTATCAAATTTTTACATAAATTGTCACATAATTTATAAAATTATTTTTTATGTAACTGAATAGCACACCTATTTTTTCAGTTATTGGTCTTATTTTCTATCTTAGGTTTGAAGATATTCTTAAACAACATTAGTTTTGACTCAGTAATGTTTGATCAATTGATCGAAGACGCTGCACAGCTTTCTAAAACCATGGATCTCGTGAAAGAAGGCATTAGAAGTGGTTTAGTCAAACCACTTGATAAAACTGTGTTTAAAACCGATGAAATCGAAACTGCTTTTAGATATATGTCCCGAGGTGTACAGATTGGGAAAGTTCTCATAAAGGTCAGCTAATATTATTTTATATTCTTTTTACTTTGTACTTTTTAATAATACATATCAAACATGTTGTGTATATATATATATATATATATATATATATTCAAATGAAGATAAAACAAAGGAAAATTATAGACATATGAAATGGGGGGGGGAATTATAATGAAAGAAAAATAGCAAACAACTGATTAAAAAAAAATGATGAAATTTTTTTAAAGAAACCGGAAAATAAAAGATATAATCTTTTCATCAGCCTACACGATTATATCCGCAAAAAAGAGTGCTTTCTGATATTGTATCAATATAGCCAAAGCAAAATATATTAATACAATAGTGTGAGGAGCACTCAAAAATTTTTTT